GGGCGATTTTGAATGTGATTTTCACACTTTGGATTGGGTAAGTATTCTATATCCGGATTTAATTATATTTCGTGATTCCATCTTTATTTTTAACATTAAATTAGTGATTGAATGAGAGGAAATGAGAATTGTTGTATAAATTTTCAAAAATATAAAATGAGGATTTGAAGGCCGATTTAATGTCGGAATTGGATAATTTTAGTATGGATGGACTCATATCAGAATGGATGTTCGAATTATGTGAATTTTTTGGGTTACGAGGTGCGGGCCCAGAGTTGACTTTTTTGGATTGACTTTTTAGTTTTCATTAAAGATCGAAATTTTATTATCCGGAATTGATTTCTATGGTTTGTATTTATGATATTAAGTTATTTTGGCTAGATTTGAACCGTCCAGAGGTTATTTCATACGAGAAGGTCATTTTAGAGTATCAGTTTAGCTTCTTTGAGGTAAGTATCTTGCCTGACTTTGTGTGGGAGAACTGCCCCTTAGGATTTGAGTCGTTTGTGCTATTTGTGTCATGTGAAAATCGTGTACGCGAGTTGACGAGTTCGTACTCGAACTTATATATGGAAATTTGACCGGCTTAAACTCTTAGGCTTCTTTTATGTACTTATATGGAATTATTAGCACATGTTATATCTTTTATTCGTCATGTCTACTATCACATGCTTTATTTGAAGTTGTCATTACATGTCACGTTCTTTACTTGTCGAGTTAGCTCATATATGCTTTATTTGAAGCTGTTATCACTTTTATCATTATGTGATTTTTTTATTGTGGAGTTACTATTAGTTTAAATTGTTATTACATGATATCCTTTTATTGCAGGGTTATTCTCATGCATTTAGATGTAGTGCTAGTTCGTGCCATCTCTTTCATTGTTAGCCTATCCATACACTAGAATTCGAAATTTGTCATTTCCTAGAAATACTTTCACTATTGAGTTTCTCCTTAAATAATTAATTGGGATTGAGGTTATCAAAAGTCACTAATCTATTTTAATTGAAGTTGTGTTTAGTGGGGGTGTTGTTCCTTGTTGAGTTACTTTCCCGTTCATTTTATTGTTATTGAGATTCTATACACATTGTGTTGAGCCATGAGCTATTTGTTGTAAAAATATTGATATTGTTGGACCTTTGGAAAGGTTGTGGCCTCTGGGCACTTGTGATATGAGTTGATATGTCGTGTTATTGTGATGTTAGCACATGTGAATTGTTGTGCGGTTTGGTTGTTGTTAAGCGAAGTATAAGGGTGGCATTTCACCGTTGTTGTTATGCGGGGCATAAGAGTTGCATCTCACTGTTGTTGAATGTACGGAGTGATACGAATGGCTATTGTGTTATTGTCCGGACAGAGCGATAAGGGTGGCTATTATACAGATTGATACGGGTGGCTATCAGAGTGATACATATGGCTAATGATATTTTCAGGGCGGAGTGATTCAGGTGGCTATCAGAGTGATACGAGTGACTAATAATATTGTTAGAGCGGAGTGATAAGGGTAGCTATCGGAGAGATAAGGGTGACAATATCAGGGATGATGTGTGATGGCTTGGGGATATTGTGTTGGTGATTTTCATGTGATGATGTGCTTTTCCTTGTGTATGTCATACACCTTACGTGATTTGTTGTGTTGCTTCGATAAGTTACTCGATGTCCTTGATATTACTTGTTGATTTGGGCTACAGTAGTACACACGTACAAGCATACACCGTAACATGCCACTTATACTTGCTAGGAGTATGAAACTTGACATTTATTAATCATGCTCAAGTGTTCTTGTATTATCGGTTTTCATGTTGATATTGAGCATGTGACCACGCTGGGCGGATTGCGATTATGAGCCTGTGACCATGCCAGATGGATTGTGATTATGAACTTGTGACCATACCAGACGGATTGTGATTGTGAGCATGTGACCATGCCGGACAGATTACGGATTGAAATATTGGCATGTGAGTTGTCCGTGCGATTGCGATTTGAAATGTGGGCACAAGGTACCGTGAGTATAGGTTGGTGGGTTGAGACCCGTGACTTGTGATTATGAGATGAGGTATCACGAAAAGATTTCATTGTGAAACTTATATTAGAACGGCTTGATTAATTGGTTATCCTTTGTGTTCCTTATTTGATTTTAACGATATTTCACAGTATTCTTATTGCTTTACTGTTTATATCACCCGTTGAATGGTTAAGTTACATTGAAGTCTGTACATACAACTATAGCTTCCTCTTCGAGGTCACTTTAAGTGCTCTGACTTACCTGTATTACTATTAATACATACTATTTTCTATTAATTCGTTCTAAAAATAGTAGAATATTTTGTATTTGAATTAAATTAATTTTAAATATTTTATTTTTGGACAAAGTGGGTTGCTCTGATGGTAAGTGTCCTCCACTTCCAACCAAGAGATTGTGAGTTCGAGTTACCCCAAGAGCAAGGTGGGAGTTCTTGGAGGGAAGGATGTCGAGGGTCTATTGGAAACAGCCTCTCTACCCCAGGGTAGGGGTAAGGTCTGCGTACACACTACCCTCCCCAGACCCCACTAGTAGAATTATACTGGATTGTTGTTGTTGTTAAATATTTTATTTTATTCTTCATAAAAAAACTTATATAAGCACACAAATATTATGACATATATAAAATAATAAGTTTCAAAAATTCTTTTTTTTTTTGTTTTTAAATTGCCTATCGAGTAAAACTAATTTAGGAAATTCAAAAGGAATGAATAATGTCTAAACTCTAATGGACGGCTGTTACTAAACATTTTCGAATTTCGATAGTATCAATCTACAGTATATTTCACACGGTAGTAGATCATAGATTTAAATGTGTGCGTCATTTTCCAAATCTCTTTCCACGACAAATTTCAAATCACCGAAAATCCCAATAGTTTCCCTACAGGCTTCTGTTTGTGTGTAGACTGCGTTTGTTAGCCGGTGCCTTTTTCCCATTGGGTTGGATCCCACTCCTTGTTAGGTTATTAATACTCTCTTGCTAGGGCAAATTTTTTTTGTTTTTAATAATTTGGTATTCAAACACGATATATCTAACTAATTTAGATTTGCACTATGTAAGATCTATAAATAAAAAAACGTCTTTTATCAAAAAATTTTCCATTATCAGGAATCGAATATGAAATTTTTGGTCAAGAATAGAGGATCATATCTATCCTACCACGTCTTTCGATAATAAAAAAAAATCTATTTGCATCAAACAATAAACACAAGAAATTAATTTTTCCTTCTGTTGGATTGTTCTTTTTTATTGATAAAGTTTATTTCAATAGTCAACACTAGAAGGATATTTGCTTTACATCAAGCCAAAAGAACAACTATACATAATTAAAAAAAATCTGAAATTCTGTACGATACATGGAAAAGGAAAAAATATTAAAGTCAAGCCATGATCGATGGAACAACAGAAACATTCATCCCAAGAACAAGACAGAAGAAAATGCCAAGACGTTTTTAAACTAAAATATATTAACTCCATAGAATTGCTCCAACCGATATTAATAATCTATATGTGCCTTCGTTTTCAAAATTCCAAGCGAAAAATTGACATTACTAGTTTACCCTTTGAAAAAATCTGCTCTCCTTAAGTCTCAGTCGTACCAAAAAGCTAACAAAATATGAAAAAAGAGGGGCCCGGGTACAATAAAGAAAACAGTTTTAATATAGCTATAAATAATTTTCTCCCCTCAATAGCATACGATGTCTGACAACAACAGTTTATACATGGAAGTCATGACCTAAAGAGCTTCTAATTGACAACTTCTAGGGGCCTAATGAGAAAGATCTAAATTAACAGTTATTGGACCGACCTTTACCTTTGACGAATTATGTTATTAACACAATATTATCAATGCAATTAATACCCACCTTATTAACTACTCGATATATTTGTTTGTTATGACCGACTGATCAACTCAAGACAAGCTGTGTTATGCCCATGAAAAATAAAATGTCAAAAGAGATTGGGTTGATGTTCGGTGTATCGTTTTTCTAACATATATTTTGCAAGCCTACATAAGGTACAAGAAAAAAAACGCATTGAATGGATGCCCGGGCATTAAAAAGGAAGGGCGCTTTTAAAGACGAAAGGCCATGGGAAGTATCGTCTGTGATCCATGGATCTTCAATCAGAAAATCGTGTCCAAGCTCCGTGGCTAGTCCGTGGTCTTTGGACTTTGGCCCCTTTAACATAGGGATCCAAAGGTAAAACCCTTCCTAACCACATGCCAATAGGGTAAGACACTTTTGTGTACAACCTATCGCTTCGCTCGAGTGACTTCGGAATGTACACGTATCAATCCAGTGAATTTTGTTCCGGTGGGATCAATTCAGTAAAATAATAATAAAAAAAGTAATTCGAGTTGCCTAGTCGTTGAATGAAAGAAACGGGAGGAGGTGAAAGCCACTTTTAGTAGGGTTAGACTTTTTCTATTATTTCAAATAATAAAATAATATAAAGAAAGAAGTTGTTTTTAGTTACGCTTTGCATAGTGTTATGTATAAAGGAGTAGAATTACATCTATTTAAGAAAATAGAAAACAAATTGTCAATATTATTAGAATAAATTGTCATCATTATTTGAGACCACGTTGAATAATGATACCTAGTACGGATAAAGAAAATCAAATGATGTTTACGTAGAGAAGAGTTAATCCTAAAATAAATACGGAGTAAAATAAAATTAAAAACAAAAATTGATGTTACGTTGGAAAATATCCATATAGCCAGGAGAATTGGAAGTTTCCTTGTAAATTATTGGGAGGATAATGATATCAGATTTTGCAAAAGCACAAAGTATACTCCATATAATAGCCAGCGTGACGCAGAATAATAATTCAAGTGACCCCAGGATCTTATAGTAAGGATAAAAAATATAATTAGAAGTCGTTAAGGCCCAAACCAAACAAAATCAGTCAATCGAAATGAAACGGGCGGATTCAGAATTTTTATTTAATAAATCAAAATGTTAAAGTTCTTAGTACAAAGTTTTTTTTTTTTTTTTTTTCTTGTTGTGCATTTCCTTATAAAAACCTAGTAATACTTATTAGAATTATTGGATTCCGGTGAATTTAACAGAAGATCCGCGCTGCTGTTAGTAAAATCAGCCTTGAAATCCTCCTTTTCCTAAACAGTCTTTTTGTTTCCTTTTCTCATAACTCCCTCCACATTTCCTTAAACCACACATTAAACCATCCTGAAAAAAAGAGTCTCTCTCTCTCTCATTATGGCATTTCTTCAAAACCAATTTCCACTAGTTTTACTCTTGCTTTTGTTCTTTTTCTTCTTCTTGTTGTGTTTTTCACAGTGTGAAGGGGCTAAGTCAATTCATGATCTCCTTAAATCTAAAGGCTTACCAGCAGGTCTTCTTCCTAAAGAAGTGAAATCTTACAATTTTTCAGATACTGGGCTTCTTGAAGTGTTTCTAGATGGGCCTTGTTTGACTAAATTTGATACTATGGCCTTTTATGACAGTGTAGTGAAGGCTAATCTCACTTATGGTTCACTTGCTGGAGTTGAAGGCCTTTCTCAACAAGAGCTTTTTGTATGGTTACCAGTTAAAGGAATTATGGTTGATAATCCTTCCTCTGGTCTTATACTTTTTGATATTGGTTTGGCTCATAAGCAGCTTTCTCTTTCTCTTTTTGAAGATCCTCCCCATTGCAAATCAGATGGTAAATTCTTTTGTTCTATTTTATTTCTCCCTGATTTGTTTTTACTATCGGTGTCTGAAATTCACTTGACTCTAATTTAGCTTCATTAATTCGGATTGATGCTTCATAAGGTCGAATATTGTTGTTTTTTTCAGAATATTGTAGCACCGGTATCTCATCCCTCCCATATTGTATTTCTCCCTATAATTATTGTCGTCTTTCCTTTCCTTTTTTACAATTTTACAGTGTATATAAAAAAGAATAACAGAATATGATTTGCTATTGGTTCTTGTATGAAGTTTCATTTCTTTCGAGGAAAAAATTACATTTTTTCTGGCCCTGAATTGCGGTTTCTAGTTATACTGACTGCATATAGTTCCCCATGTGATTTCTGAGTTGTGTTCTGAAAATGAATTGAGTCACTCATTTTGTGATTTTCTGAACAAGTCTTTGTTTTGCTATGAAATTTCACTTCTTTCGAGGTAAAAAAAAGCCATTTTAATCGCCCCAGATTGCAGTTTCTAGTTCTGTTGTACTACTATAGTTTTCCATGTGATTTCTGAAGTGTTTTCTGGAAATGAATTGATTTATCATTTTATCAAGCTTTGGTACGGCCACTGAACACTTGCTAGTACATACAAGTGTCAAGTAGTTTTCTTGGTTTTCATAGGAGTATGTTTAACTCTTTAATTTCAAGAATTGAATATGTTTTCTGTGGAATATGCAGGCGTTTTGAAGAAGAATGGTCGGAAGGAGAAAGGATTTGAAGATCAAAGATAAGAGATGCCAATTTTGGAATTAAATATCCATAATAATTAATTTAGGGGTGGGGTGGGGGTGGGGTGAGAATGGTTAAGTACAAATTACCAGGCTTGATTATAGGATCTTTTCTTTAGACTCTAATGAGATGAGGATACGGCTGTAAAGATTTTGGGTTATCAGATAGTATGTTGCTATTTTTGTTAATGCTAAATGGTAATCTTCTAACTTTTTATCATTCCCTTTGTTTGATTCTTTGTTTCAACCTCTGTGGATAGATTAAGATAAGAATAAAGCAATAGATTTCCTACTCCTCAATCTCTCAAAATTCTACCTAATATCTCTACCAGAATCTTTCAAAAATAAGATTATGTAGCTGTGTATATGAAATATTCGTACTACTACTACTACTACTACTACTACTACTACTACAAGTTAACTGTAATTTAACACTCCATTAAATTTTTAGTATAATTTTTAATCTTGATTTTTATTTTCTCTATTTATGACCTGCACATTTCATAGGATACTTGTTCTAACGAGGGAGAAATGGGCCCATGTAAAAGGTGAGAGTGCAAAGGGCCCACACAAACTTTTCTGTAGGGCTACTATTATGGACGTGAGTACTTGATTTCCATGCATCTTCTGTTGGACTTTATTTATTATATAGTGGACCCTGTCCACAAGAGTGCCAACCCAATTGCATGATTGAAGCCCATGATCAAAAGAAAAAGGCAAACAACCTTTTAAGTAGAAAAATAAAAGTAAAAATTGTAAAGTCCAAAAAAATCAACATTGTTTAGAATAAAATAATGAAAACTACTTATTACTATAGAGAATTTTATAAGAGAAAGTGAATAAACTTTTAGGATAACTCAAGCTGAAAGTAGGACAAGTATTCCCAGCATAGTAATTAGTTATTGTATCTTGTGTTTTGTTAAGCCAAATACTTGCACTTCCCTTCAGCTTTAGCAAAATTGATATCATATTAGCTTGTATGAATTTTATGACATCATAAATTGATCGTTGTAAATTGTAATAAAGTTTTATGATGTCCAAAATATTTAAAGTAAGAATTAATTCATAATCAAGCGCAAATCGAACAAAAACTCTAGGTCACCTGAATTGTTACTAGTAATGATCTTCTTAAAGTTACAGTATTAAGTTGGTTTGATGTTAAGCATGAAATGGCAATAAGTCTTTATTGAAAAAAGAAGTCCCAACGAAGATCGTGTACTATTTCTGATAAACTGAGTTAATGATTTTGTTGAGTCATTGAAACTTTACATGTCTTACAATTGATCCAATCCTTGTTTTGTGAATCAGGTAGCACATAGCGAAGCTTATTAGGCAGGTCGGTCATATATTTGTATTAAAAAACAAGGCCCACGATCTCCTAAGGATTAGGAAGGGAAAGCGGAAATGGAAGGAGGAGGAAGATAATGAAAATTGAGTCCGGCCCTGCTTCGCATACAATTTTCACCAGCATACAATCACCCCACACCCTTAACTACGTCCACCGCCAAGCATAAGTTTTTTTTCCTTTTCATTTTGTTGATTTTATTTCTTTTCGAGCTTTTGGTTTTAATCAATCGAAAAAATAAAAACTCCTTTGCTGCTCGTACTAAAAATCGCAAATGACCCTTAATGTATTATTATTCATTGTAAAGAACTATTTACGTCATTACTGTTTTTACTGATTTTAACACACACTATCTTATTATTGTTCCAATCTGGTCACGGAACTGCAAGCAAGTGTTCTACTCTTTGGTTATATAAATCCATCAATTTTTAAAAAATAATAGGGATAGTACATAATTACCATTCAGATTATTACCGGTTGCACTCTCATACTTTGCGGGAGTCCTATAACACATTTCTCTGTATTTGTTAGAAGTATAATAAGTATCATATTTTGAGTTGATGTGGCACTTGCTTTGATTTGCACCGGCTAAACCACACGTGGATGCTCTAAAAATTTAGTTTTTTTTAAGTTTTATTTTTCGGTCTTCTTTTTCTTTTATTTTATTCTCTTTTTTGTTTACTTCTCCCTTATTACTCCATCCCCATTTTTACACCCCAGCTCACTTCTCTCATTTTCTTTCCTTCTACCTTTTTTGTTCTTTTCTATCCTGTCTCTATTAAAGTCTTTTCTTTCTTCTTTTTTTTTTTTTTCTTTTTTCTTTTTATATTTGTCTTCCTTGCTGTATTACTCGTCGGAAAAGTTGATGATTCCGACTATAAGCAAATCTTATTTTGGATGTTTTCTCCTTTTCATTTTACTTTTTCTTTTTCTTTCCTTTTCTTTTCTTTCTTTTACCCTTTTTTTTTTTCTTACAATGTTTCTCACCGGAAAAAATGGTGATTCCGGTGATGCCATATTTTTGCTAAATCATTTCCACCGTTTATAAGTGGGAGAAAATGGTGAAGAAAAATAGATAGAGAGATAAAAGAGAAAGGAAATGTACGAGAAAAATAATAAAATAAGACAAATAAAAAAGTAACTTGAAAAAAAAATTACACGTGGCAAGCAATGATTGGTGCGCGATTTGTACCTTTTCTTTTGAAACTGGGATTGGCGGGAAAGATTGTACTTATTATAATTCTAACAAATATGGGGGATGGGGTAATAGGAGCCCCGCAAAATATAAGGGTACAACTGGTAAAGTGAGAAAACCTTAGTGGGGTAACTATGTATTATCTCAAAATAATATAAAAAAATATAAAATTGAAGCAGGTATATATAACAGCTCAAAAATAGAACATACGTAGAAGCAATGGATTCATATACTTGTTTTCAATTCCAGAATGCGGTGTTAAAAAAATAATATTATAATAATTCTTGTCTTTTAGGGGAAACAGGAAAGTGGGTTTATATAGTGACAGATTAGGACGAACAAACAAGGAAAACAATCAATTAAACATATATAAGGAAATAAAAGATAACATGCAATCCATAACAGAGCCGGTAAAGGAGTGAAAGAAATTTTAAACCCTAGTTGGGTCCAACATCCATGAATTGGACCGAAAATGCAAGAATCGTTCATTATAGAGTGTATATAGATGAAACATCGCTGAGATCTTCTCAAAATTGGAGCCAATCAGGCCCCATGCCATCAATATGAACCTCAATAGGATTCAAGGACCATACATACTTTCTTAGAATAACTTTATAAGGAAAGAAACATGGACAACCTTAGTTGTTAGGAGTAGATCCGTTATAAAATAGCGTATCGTTTATATTCATTTCACTTTAGATCATACCAAAAGAATGAAGGAAGTTCTTTAATATACCTTTGCAATCTTCTCTCCAATCGTCAACCAAGCTCAATATGATCTTCTTACGTCTACAATGAGTAAACCGACTTCGTCGTCATCATATAAGTGTTGTAACTCTTATATTTAAAAATCAATATTCTACAAGAAAATGGACATCATCTCCCCTATTTTTACTACATCCAATAAGTTACTAAAAGTCACCAAACAGCCCAAACAACATCAATAATAATCATATTAAGTCTCCCAAAATAGTCCACCAATCAACAACATTACTAACAAGCCTTTCAATAGATATCTAACAAGTTCTAGTTTCAACGACTTAGCCGCAACTTGGCTAAGCATAAATACATGTAGAGTAAGAGGATCCCTACCGTTAAACAGATAGAACAACTCCAATTTGAGCTTACTTCAGCACGAAATATCCTTCCAATGCAGCCACAAGAACAAGGAGGCAAAATTAGCAATCAATTTGGGTTTCTCGGCACTAGAATTACTTTGGAAGACTTGAAATCACCTAGGATTGATATGAAAACCTTGGGAGAGTATTTTACAGAACGTAAACCACTTTAAACAACCCCCCACACGATCCGGGACCATACAAAAATTAGCAACTACAAGAATAACAAGAAACTCACTAGCGCCACGTGATTTTCGATACTTGATTTGTGTTGTTTGCCCTTAGTTTGGGTCTTGGATCATGAGAGAACTTTGAGAGAAAGTTTTTAGGTGTCTAGGGTCTGAAGCGAGTGAAAATAATGAGTTAAAACGGTATTGCAGGCGTCACATAAGATATCTCAACCGCCTAAGTGGGTCCTACAGGGAGCTACTTGCTCAGTCTCGTAAAACTGCTAATATCTCTCTACTCTGACGTCGTATCGAAGAAAAACGGTTTAATGAGTTGGAAACTAGACTATTAGATCTTCAATGTGGTAGGATTATCATCCCATAATTTCAAGTATATTGGAAAAAAATCTTAGCTACATTTGACCTAATATTTATCATATTATGAATGTGACTTGTGATGACCTTTGCCAACTTTTGTTTCACAACTCACTTGACTTCAAAACGTAACACACAGATATCATATGGCTAGAATAACTCATAACATAACCTCCTTATCATGTAATCACCCTAGTCTCACCCCAAAAGTACATGTTATAATATTCCCAACTTGTCGATTTTCGACGAAACTTATTTTCTTCAATTCGTTTAGCTTCTATGATTTCCAACCCTCTTGGTACTTTTTATTCATGATATTAAATATTTGTAACTCCAAGATAACATGATTAACTTACTTTATGTACTTACAAAGAGGATCTCATTTCCGAGCTTCCATCAATTGACTTACGTTTGTACTTTTGTGTACGAAAGCATGGGGTGTGATGATCGGTTTTTAAAATATTATCTCAATCCGACCTACATCTGCATCGCACCGAATAACTCTTAACATGCCCCGCCCTGCACTCGTCCTGCAAAAATCTTTTAAAAATTACTTCAACCCATACTGTATATGTTAACATATAAAATGGTACAATTGAATTTATATGTGATTTATAGACATGTGAATTAATTTGATCCAAAAATAACAAATGAATTATACAGAAATATAAGACTTAGCCTTAAAATTGAAATAAACGACATATATCTCAGTTCTGGGCGCAGAGCCACCGGGAGCGATAAGAACAGTGCAAATAAGCAAGATAGTAAAATATTATTGAGCTTTTTATAGAATACAGTGTATGCTTGTCAGAAAATTCGTGTCCGTACAATGGAAGGATGTGTAACAGTTGGCAGTGAATGCCATATTCTCTGTAATGGATCATGCACTTAATGTTGTAGAATATTCTATATTGAATGCTACCGGATGACGACATTTATTTTGTCTTTATGAGCGTCATTCTCTCGGTGACAAGCGAAATTATTGCCTTCGGGTTTGGCTATCTTCTGTCTTCGGTTTTA